TAGAGCGTGATCAAAGTCTCTAGTCTATCTACTCGGGAGGATAGGTGCTAGCTATGCAGTATGCAGGGTCGCGCACAATGAAGAAGAGTAATTACAACGATGCAATCATCTTCTACTTCTTTTAGATACCCCACGATGATCCACAACTCCGTCTCTTGGATGGAGGAAATCGTAAACCTGTTCAACTTGGTGCTGCTCGAATGATGCCTGTTTAACTCTAATCAAGCACCTGGTGGGTCCGTTGTTAGAAGCGCAAGTCTCGTAGCGCGAGATTGATATCAAGCTTGCGCTTCGATGCGCTGGGGCCCAGCGACTGGGCTACAACAGCTAGGCAACAATTATTGATCGAAAGCGGCCTTCGATCAATCACTTGATCGGCTTTCGATCAAGCGGACTTGAAGGTGAGGCTTTCGGAAGGCCTCACCTTCAACTCCGTTTAAACTTGGCCACTCGAATCGGAGAATATCACCACATGAAAAATCTTACCTGAGTGCTCTCCGAACGAGCAACATTGTGGTGCGTGAAAATGCGTGCCGACCACTCAAAGAACTGCATTCCGTTAGACTTGCACACCCGCAGGGTTTTTGACACCTCGTGAACATTGATAGAGAAATCTGGACTATTTTAGCAGATCTCGGAACGGTTCTAATGAAACCAGACCTCTCATTCATCGGTGTAGTACGGAGTGTGGTTTTCGACGCATATATGTATGAGCTATTCCGCAACTGGGCCATTTATGGTCCAGAAGTGATTCCCGAAGCCAAGCTCCTCCCGGAGGGAAGCTCATATACAGGAGCGTGCACTTCTTCATTTGGTTCACAAGTTTGATTGGTATGGAAGTGGCCGAATCCACACATGAGCATACTTCATTGGGTCTCTATTCGGTCACTTGATGTTCGGTCGCTACCTTGAGTAATTTGCCTCAAATCGTGCTTCAACCACCAGACCTTAGTATGTTTGATTTGCTGGGTGAATCTCGATGAGATACCTCACCGTGACCTATCATCACTCGCGTATAATCGGTCTAGAATCTCAGTAATGTCACTTGATAGTATCATGCTCGTACACTGGACATTCTTATCTACGATTCTGGTGAATGGCCTACTCTTCGTTGAAGGTGCTCCTAAGCGCACATTGGTTAGGATATCCCATCGCGGAGCCCGCCTCGACATTCGTCTTATACCGAGTATGATGGCGAAGACCATGACTGCCTTCAACGGAGAGTCGTATTCACTCACTTCTGAAGACCGTGAGTGTGAACGATGCTTCGCGCAAGATGGTATGATCTACGACCTGAACGCTGTAGGGGTCCAGATTGTGGACTCCGCATGCTCGGTTGGTCACAGTCAAATCTTGAGCTACTTAAGGAAGGCTGAGATTACTTTGGGGATTGACTTTGATTGCGAGCCCGACTCAGTGGTCACCATAAACCCGCTGTCCAGGCCTGTTAGGGCACAAAACTCGTCCAATTGTACTGGCGGCAATCCCGTTCTTGGCACCAATGATCCCGGCTCCTCCTGCCAGCGTAGCCTCGAGGTTATCCGCATCGGAGCTGCCTGGCAAGCGGCTCGCTCAGCCAAGCGCAGCTGAGGGAAATCGTACTGGCCATCAGCGACACTGGGGTTGACATGACTCACCCCGAC